AGCAGAATCTCATCTGCCATCATCAGGCTTCTGTCAGACTTTCACAGCCGTTTCTGTTTTAAATTTGGTGCTAGCCTACTGCTGTGCCAGAATGGTTTTTTCTTCATCCTGATTGGTTGGGAGTCTTGGTCTGTGTTTATTGGTCTTGGAGTTTTCTGTGTTCTGATTGATTGGTGTTTCTAATATCTTGTCTGTTTTGTAGCTTTTTTTTGTCTTGATTGGCTGGCAACATTGTGTTTCCTGTATTGGAGGCTTTTAGTGTGGCTTGGCTCCAAGTAAACGGACGGCTATCATTTATTAGGAAGCTAGGTTTCATCTGGGTGCCTGGTTGGGGTGTGTTTGAGCTGGAGGTATCAGGGGGATCTGTTTGTGCCCAGGTGTTTGCCTGGCTTGTGGTGTGGAGATTTTTTTGTTTGTGAGTGCAGGCTTCCACCACCAGACTGTCAATTAAATACCAACCACCCAAACACCTCATGGAACTAGCAGAACACTGCTTAACCAACACATTTCATATACAGAGGACAAAATAAAAGCAAATTGAAGGAGCCCCTATGGGATCACCACTGTCACCCGTCATTGCAAACCTGTTCATGGAAGAATTCGAATCCAGAGCCCTAGCCAATGCCACCCACAAACCCAAACTATGGCTAAGATATATCGATGACACATTTGTTATTTGGCCCCATGGAAAAAAAGATATATATAAATATGCATTAGTTAATCCCTTTCAGCCTCTCAATTTATGTAGACTCTGAATAATCCCCCTTGACAGTACATTCTAGAGATATTGGCTGCTATAAAAACTCATGTGGAGTACAAGTATAAGCAAAAATAAAGTCTGCACAAGCATAGCATTCCTGACTAATGGAAAAGGCAATGCACTTTTGCTGTTGCAGTCATCTGTAACGGACGGTCAGATGTTTATAGGAACCAGTATAATCCAGATTTACCACTAGCAACAAAAGCTTTCCAATTTTACTTAAGGAGTGATATCCCAAATTTAGTAGAATGATGCCTTTTTAAAAGCTGCAACTGGACTATAGAATATATAATTATTCAAATTATTACTATTCTATAACTAGTGCTTCTCACTGTTCTGAAAACTTTTATTTGTAGTTTGGGTTTTTTTGTTGGTTTTACTGTTCTGCATGCCACCCAGGGTTGCTATTTACAGTTTCAGCTGCTATATAAATATTTAAAATAAATAAAATTTGAAGCCTTTCATAATAATGAACCTGATATTTAATATAATTTGAATATTGTTAAGGATCTTATTGTTTCGAGAATTTTGAAAATGTTTAATGCGGTAGTGAGCAGAAAATAAACGTTCAGTTGGAAACTACATATACCTCATACAGATAGTTTGAGCTTGCAAATACTATAGTACAGAGATATTTCCAAATGATTTCCTGTCAATGCCAAATTTAAATTTAAGTTAATGATTTCATAAGGATCATGATTATGGTTTAGAGAATGGAATAGCTAAATTAAATATTCCAAACAATTCAGTTTCACTATTAGCAAGTGAATAATCAGCATTAATAAATGAAACTAATTCAAACAATTATAGGATAAAAATGGAGATGGATGGATATCTGATTGTTACATATTTATTAGGTTATTATGAAGAGACAGAATATTCAATAGCAGTATTCCAATGTGTAAGATCAGTTTTATTTTCCCAACTCGTTTCTGAAAGCAAGCTTTAACTAGAAAGACCTAATGAAAAACTTGTAATAAAAGCAAAAATCTTAAGAAATATCAGGAAATGCTTCTAAAGAAACCAAATATATTAGAGAACCTAAAGGAACAGTAATTTCCTGTTAAGTAATAAACCACCATATAAATTACACAGATGTAACTGTCTGCAGTAGAATTGTTGCTCTTTTACTTATGATCAGTTCTGTCTCTGACACTTTCACTTAAGAGTAATCTCTTGATTCCAGCTTCTAAAAAGCTACCCCAACTAAACAGTGTTGTAGAGATTTTGGAAAATAATATAGTGGATCCCATATAGTGGATCCTTATACTTGATATGCTTACCAAAATCTTCACAGTGGTTTTTAGAAGAGAATTGACACTTGAAAATTTCCATAGTTGTAGCCAATATTATTTTGAACTTAGCATGCATTTTTAATGACCTTAAAATCCAACCAAAAGAAAAATAAACAGAATATGGTTTCTAAATTATATTAATTCCTAGCAATCTAAATTTTTAAATACCAAATCCATCATCTTGGACCTTTTCATAACATATAATTCTGAGTCTGCCATTGATCTATGTATTATTATTAGCTCATTTAGTGAAGAAATGGATGACTGTATTCTCCATTAATTGGAGCTTTCAACTCATAACAAAGACAGAGCATTGTACTTGAACATGATTGATCAGTATATTTGATTCAGACAAAAGATATTTCAGTCATGTCATAAGATCCACTAATTAACATGTTTTGTTTTTAGATATAAATCAATATTTTCTAAAAATTATTCAAGGAAACATGTAAAAAAATCTAAGAAGCAGAATTAACAAACTGTGTTGACCCAGGGCAGGGCACGGAGGCAACACAGCCTTGTCACCTGACCTCTATCGCTCCTCATCTCCACTGCCTGCCCTCTTTTCTCCTTTTCTCAGACATCCTGCCCCCATTCTTCCCTGCTGGCAAGCTGTCCCAGGCCCAAAGGACCTGGGGCTGCCTCATCCTACTCCTTCCCATATTACACTGGAGCTAACGCTGCCCCCTCCACCTCGGTTGGCCCCAGCTCTGGCTCATCTTCTTCCACGAACTTGGGCTCTGACGGGGCCATGACACAAACATTGTCTCACTTGGATTTAGCTTTAAGCAGTTCATTCATACTAAGTATTCTATTAATGACAGCAGAACTATCCTGAAGTAAAAAAAAATAGAAATTGTGAACATAGAGAGCTATTTGTACAGGAACATGGAAACAAAATGTTACAAAATAAATACCTGCACACCCCTACCTACTGAAAATTCAGTGATGCTTCTATGGTCTTAGAGCAAAGTAGCACTCCAGCCTGTTGCCAATATTGTTCAGGTGAAAAGCTGGAATAAGTGCCCCTAGTTAATCCTGTTTAAGTAATTTGCAATTCAAATATCTGCTTCAAGTTTTATTAGTCATTTTACTCAATGTTGGTAAACTTAAATATAAAAGGGTTATTTAATAGCCTAGAAAGTATTAATAACTCAGATTTAAAAAATCAGAGTCCATATTTCCTTATAAACTACAAACATTACTATGATGTACATAAAAGGTCGTGATATTTCTCAGTCTATTTTAATTACATGGTTTTCAAACTTTGAAACTTTGAGACATAGTTTTTTGTAATTATTTTTCTGTCAAGAAAGCCCCTGAATATTTTAGATCTTCTCAGAAGTTTCAGGTGATTTTTCCCCCTATTCTTACAATGCCAGGAAATAATCAGAATCATTGTTTTCTAATTGTGTGGGATCAAATCATCTGCAACATCATACTACAGATAAATTTTAATAATGATGGCAAGTCAATCTGATTTTCAGAGACGCTTATATGCTGCTATTAGTTTTTTCTGTGAAAACTCTGAAGTTTCAAAAGTATCTTCAAGATTCCTTGAGCATTAGAAAATCATTTTAATCCAACTGCGGCTCCCATGTGCTCACCACCTATGTGAAAAAGAAAGCGAAAGACAAACCAGGCAGAATGTCCATCCAGGAAAAAGAAAACGGAAAGGCAGAAAGAGCCAGGCAAAAAGTCACATCCTTCTACCCCTGGGTCACTTCACCCTTCCAGAGAGAAGCCAGTTTCAATCCAGCTTCTAGGGTGCAGCACAGAATGGGGCACACAGGCAGCCTCCCCTGAGCAGTGCCAGCTGGAAATCAGGTGGCAAGGTAAACCCCTCCCCAAAAGCTCCAGGCACTAAAATGGGCCCATCTCTCTTTAGCAGCTGCCCAGGCCCGCCAGAGGGCAAGGCCAGCATCTACCAGTACTGAAACGCAGTGGTGCAGGACCAAAGCAGCAAGGGGAGGAGGAGGCAGCAGCCACAGCCAGGCAGGTGTTCTGCTAGGTGGCAGCAGGAACCAAAAAAAAAGCCCCTCCAGCAGCTGACATGGCTGATGCATAGCGGTGATCGAGACCTTTCACTGTCACTTCCCCCTGGCTCCAAAACAGCAGAAAGGGACAAGGTAAAGAGACCGAGCCTCCCACACCCATCCTCCATAGCATGGCATCTGACCTGGGAGGGGAGTGAAAGGGAAGAGGTGGGCTGTTAGCCAGGTCATTGAATGGGTGGGGGAGGTTGCAGTGGTCTGGCTGCAGGGGTCCTTAGGTACGCAGCTCCAGGGTGCGTATGACTGCTCCCCCACCACCTGCTTCGTCTGACCTCGTGGCAGTACCACACACCCTCCTGCCATTGCAGCCGTGGGATCTTAACTAGGGCTTATTTTTGGAGTAGGACTTATACTTATTTTTGTTGGTAGGTGCATGCATAAAAATCAAGCTAGGGCTTATTTTGGGGGTGGGTCTTATTTTTTTTGGAAAACGCGGTAATTAAAAAAAAACTTAAAAAACAACTACCAATCAGCACAATGAGATTTTTTATGGATCCAAAAGGAAAGGGGAAAATATCTTAATTGGCCCAATATAGTGTCCCCACTTTATCTTGCATACGTTGAAATAATGTACAAGTTTTTAAAAATATGAAAGATATTCAGAAGCATTGTTCTATACTATTTTCTATATGTCCTATTCAATAGTAGCTTTTTTCTTTTTGCTACTGGCTATTTTATTACACAATATTTTGCCCATCCCAATAATAATTGGACCCTCAGCAAGATATTCTATATTTGTTTTATGCTTAAACATATGAAGAATATATGCAATGAGAACATTAAAATATTTGTATAAATAGTAACAAAAATACTTTGATAGAAATCTAAAACCTTTATAATATTTCTGTACTGTTTTAAGTTTTGGGGGTAAAAATACTTTTCTGTTCTTTCTGATAACCATTATGTTTGAAGTTTCCAAGGTCATCCAAAGCTATAACTCTATGCAGATCCTATGTTGTGTTTTCTTTCATAACTGAATCAAAGTGCCGTTTTCCATCCAAATACAACATAGATTCTGAAAGAAAAGCAAGAATGTCAAGTTTCATAAGATCACATAATCAACTGAAAGCTCAGGGCTTTTTTATTTTTCATAATTTTCTTTACATATTAATTTTTTAAGCCTGCTCTTTCCAGATAGATAAAACAAGTGTTCTCGTCTTCAACATAAGAATGCTTAATTAGTTCTTTAATATAAAATAATTTGTATAATACAAACTGAACAAACTGAAGATCAATATAGAGGAATCTGAAAGCTGATTAGTATGCTATAGTACCAGATAAATGAAGCTATGAGAGAGAGAAAAAACAAGCAGGATCATATTTCTAAAGGTCACAACTTTTAAATTCATTGATTATAAATTAATTTTTTATTCACATAGACAGTGAGATATTGAAATGACTACTCACCACCATATGTCTTGGGAACAACATCTGGTATTTCCTTCTCTATCATAAATGTGAAATGGAAGACATTGGTTGTATGGTGTACCCTGGTGTCTGGATCATACACTTCACTATGCACCCGAACCTGGATATTATTTTTTTCAGTATAACATACCTTTAAAAATTAAAAATTAGGATCACCTGGTTATTGGGTATAAACTTTCAAAAATGAATAAAGTATGCATGACATTTTATTACAGGTAGTCCTCCTCTATAACAATTTGTTCAGCAATAGTTCAAAGTTACGAGGATTGGTTACAACTGGTCATTGAAGTTCCAGCCATCCCAGCGCCTCACTAGTCACGTGATCACAATCTGGACACTTGGCAACTAGTTCACACTTCCAACTGGTTGCCAAGCTCCTCGCTATTACATCACCACCATCTGCAACAAAGGTGTTTTTTCAAGAGGCAACTGGACTTTCTGGTTTTTCTTTGAAGACATTTCACTTCTCATCCAAGAAGCTTCTTCAGTTTTGACTGAAGAACAATCAACCGGTGGAATAGCTTTCCTTCAGAAGTTGTGGGAGCTTCATCACTGGAAACTTTCAAGAAAGGAGTGGACTGCCATTTGTCAGAAATGGTGTAGGATCTCCTGCTTGGGCAGGAGGTTGGACTAGAAGACCTACAAGATCCCCTCAAACTCTGAATGGAAGGATTTGTACTCCTTGTAGACAGCTGGTCATTTGCATTTTTTTAGAGAGTCATTAAGGCCTGGAGATTTATCTGTGTTATCAGGATCACCTGAATGGTGCAAATGGGTGTGGAGCCTTCTTGGAACTGTTGAAAGGACTGTGTTGTAAACTGGAGATAGATGATGTCATATCCCCCCCTTCTGTTGAGAGAGGACTGTTCAATTTTGACATAGATGCCCTATTTGACCCCTCTTTCCTCTCTGTCCAAAATGTGGACTTTGCTGTCTCAAAAGAATGGCCTTCGTTTTTTAAATGCACTTCTGAATCTAGTCCTGATGGGTTTGTTCTTCTATGTTGTGCTATATGTTTATGAAGTGGTTGTTTCCCCAATGTACAGATCTGCACAAGGCTCACTGTATTATACTGCATATAGCACATTGCTAAGTTTGTGTCGGGGTGTTTTATCCTTGGGGTGGACAAGCTTCTGCCTTAGTGTATTTTGGGGGTTGAAGTGTGCACATATGTTGTGTTGGCTGAAGATTCTCCTGAACTTTTCAATATTCCTGCAATGTATGGAATGACATTGCTTTGTTTATTATTCTCTTCATTGTCTGTTATAGAGGAGCTCCTGTAGAGTCTTTTTTGAGATTTGTTGAAGGCCCACTTGGGATAGACATACATTCTGTGAGCTTCCTTCAGTGGTGGGATTCAAATAATTTAATAACTGGTTCTCTTCCCTAATGACTGGCTGGGTAGGTGTGGCTGGGTGGTCATGTGACTGGGTGGGCATAGCTAATTTGACATCACTCACATGAGTGGTGCCTGCTTGGGCCAGGCGGGGTTGGGGAGGGACTCCAGGGGTCTCTGGTGGCTGGGACAGAAGGAAAGAAAGAGGGAAAGCGCCCCGCCGGCCAGGCACTGAAGCGCCATCAAATACGAGGTTTTTGTGGGCAGAAGAGCCTGCCCCACCCACCACCACCCAGATGCCCTTGCTTCACCCAAGTATTTCTTTGCCTACCTGATTTCCAGCTCCGTTGCATTTCTTGCAGTCGTACACAGGGAAACAAAAGTTTGTGGGACTAAAAAAACTCCTATCGATCAAATTCAACTTCTCACAACAATAACAACAAAAAGATCTTGCGAGGAGTGAACTTATTTTTTAGTCCCACAAACTTGTTTCCCTGCACATGACAGTGAGAAACACAACAGAGCTGGAAATCAGGTAGGCAAAGAAATGGGGGAAGCAAGGGCATCTGGGCGGTGGTGGGTAGAGCAAGATCCGTAGTGCTGCGCTGCAATGGAAAAATAGGCAATGGAGCGGCCGATGCAAGGGAAGGAAGAGGCCACTTTCCCTCTTTCCCTGCTCTTCCTCCTTCTCTTGTGCCGACCGATCGCTACATTTCCCATTTCTCAATTGGAGCACAGTGCCCAGGATCCACTTTGATAGCCGGGGGGGGGGGGAATAATTTTCCTGGCCAAACTAACCCCACAGTCTCTCCTATATTGGGCCCAACTTTGATCGTGCTAACAACTTAATTCCTCGCCCCTCATACTTTTGCCCGCAGACTGACCAACATCCCCTGTACACAGCTCCATGGGGAGGGGGGAATCCCTCCAATTCTTCACCTTCCCACCCGAGCTCTTGTGAGCATCAACTCCTTGTCTCTATGGTAACCCCCCCCCCCCCGTTCTTTGGAAACCTTCCTCTTAAAGGAGCCACGCCAGAAGGCTGAAACAGCTGCAAGACAAGCACCCTCAGAAACAGCCTTTTGGCAAAAGGTGGAAAAGCTAGCCATGCAAGGAGTGGCTGGGAAAGAGGGGTGGGGTAGGGCCAGCCAATGGTGGAATCAGCCAGCAGAAACCATTAGTAACTGGCTGAATCCCATCACTTGGCTTCCTTGATACGTATTAGTTCTTTTAAAGTCCAGTTCCCTCTTGAAAAAGCACCTTTGGGACAACCATGACCTGGATTACTGAGAATCCCCATAGACAGCATCTGCAACCTTTCTTATTGGCTTCCGCAGAAAGTCAATGGAGAAGACATCAAGGAAGGTTGCAAGTTACTGGGGAAGTCTTCCCCACCCTTATACTCTCTGCCAGCATCTCTGTGCTTGCATTGTGCCGGCCATTTGCACATACCTTGTACCTTCACACACCCACTCCCATAATTCTGCACACCCCCTTCCTCCCTCCCCAACCCCCCCCCTCCACCAATCATTTACCTTACAAGCCAGTATGGGATTTGCAACTTCCTGCTGGCTTCCCCAATGACATTGGTTATAGGAAGTCAGCAGGAAGTTGCCTTACCTAACAATCATGTGCAGCTTAGTTAACGACAGCAACCATGATTGCAGAGATTGATAGTGAAGCAGTCACGCAAATTCCAATTTCCATTTTAAGTGAAGGACTTCTCATATTTAAAGAAGATCAGTATTTATCCAACTTCTTAATGTTCAAAGATGGGAGTATTCCAAACATTTTAAAGTAGTTTGATCTATTAATATGTTTAGTCTATTACCTGGGAAGAAAGTAATAGTAAGGATCCAATTTCAACTGGTTTTTGAAACATAATATCATCTACAGCTACCACATAAGGTCTGGAGTTTCTGGTATATGAAAAAAACAATGTAATCATGCATATTTACACATACACATATTTTTAAAAGATGTACATGTATTGCTTTATATTTTAAATTATATTCCATGTTAGAAACTTATTATGATCCTGAAATGTATTAATAATATAAAACATTAGTACGGTATATAAAATAGACATTAATTATACATCTTTTCCAAACTCTTTGGACTACAGATTCCCAGGTGTACATGTCAATCCAATAAAAGAAAATCTGAGGGAATCCTCGATTACTGCTCAAATTCGTAACTGCTTACTGTAGTATACTATACACACAGTAGTAAGTATAAAGACTTCATTATTTCACTAAGCTATAATCAGCTTAAGCATCCAAGGAGCTGATTTTACAGTTCATAAGCTATTATTCAATAAGCTATTTTACAACGAGTAAAAATAACAACAGATATATGTTATTTAAAAACAAGGTGGAATTCTACAACCATTCAAATATAACATGATTTTCTACTTAAAAATTATTTGATTTATACTGTACTTGTTTTCTTTTCCACCAGTGCCAAGAGCATACATCCCTACATTTGAATGCAAAAATACATAAATGGTAACATCGGATATGATATCAATAATTTCCTTTGTAAGTGAAACTTGATCAAATGCTAAAGGGTACACCTAAAAAAGAATGTCTCCAGGGAGCACAAGAACTTTGCAACTTTGTAAGATAACATAGACTCAAATTTTCCATCAACATAATCTACTAATTATCTGCAAATTATCTTTTCTCCTGTCTTTTCTCTACTGCAGCTCCCTACAGCTAGCAATAACTCTTAGCCTTCTTATCCCTCTGTTTCTCTGCACTGGTGATATTTGTTCCTTACACACTGTCTAGTAACATCATCAATAGCTATTGAATTTATTGCAATGATACTTGCTTATTTATTAAATAAATATTGTTTCTTACAGCTGCCACAATCTTGAATTGGTAATATTGACTGCTCTGTGAACCCAATACAGATAGTCTTTGACTTACAGCCATTCATTTAGTGACGATTCAAAGTTACAACAGCACTGAAAAAAGTTATTTATGTCTGTTTTTCACATGATCATTGCAGCATCCCCCTGGTCATATGATCAAAATTTGGATACTTGGCAACTGGCATATATTTATGTCCCAGGGTCATGTGATCATCCTTTACAACCTTCTGACAAGCAAAGTCAGTGGGGAATCCAGATTCACTTAACAACTGTGTTACTAAATTAACAGCTGCAGTGGTTCACTTAATTGTGATAAGAAAATGGGGCAAAACTCACAACAGTCTTGCTTAGCAATAGAAATTTTAGACTCAGTTGTGGTCATAAATCAAGGATTATCTGTATCCTACTCAGAATGAGATGGGAAGAATTGATGGTGTCATCTCAGCAAACTGATTTCTGCCACACAGGGTCAACAGATAAATAAAATCTCATTTCCTGCCCTCTTAAGTTATATCCATATTCACTGTCATCTGACACAGGATTCAATTAGTATTTATAAATTAGTCTTAACTATACTGGGCCAACCAAAAATATGTGAAAATATTATATCAGGCAATACAGTTACAACTGTAAAATCACATAGTGACTTAAAATTAAGTGGTTTTTGCAAAAATGAAAAGAAAAGGGCATGGTAGTTAATTTAATTTAATATAGTGTTATTTATTTATTTTCCTGTCTCTGCTCAAATACAGTAGCCATGAGAGGGATTTGAAGTCCCAGTGGATGATCATGAACTACCAGTGTGCAGCAGCAGCCAGAAAAGCTAATACAATCCTTGGTTGTATAAACAGCGGTATAGAATCAAAATCATGTGAAGTATTAGTACTGCTTTTTAAAGCCTTTGTAAGGCCACATCTAGAATATTGCAATACAGTTTGGATCACCACATTACAAAAAGGACACTGAGACTTTGGAAAAAGTGCAAAGAGCAACTAAGATGATTATGATTAAAGGCCTGGACATTAAAACGTATGAAGAATGGTTGCAGGATTTCGGTTTGGCTAGCCTAGAGAAAAGCAGGACTGGGCGCAGGCATAATAGCAGTATTCCAGTATTTGAGGGGTTGCCACAAGGAGGAGGGGGTCAACTTATTTTCCAAAGCACCAGAGGGCAGGACAAGAAACGATGGAAACTAATCAAGGAGAAAAGCAATCTGGAATTAAGTAGAAACTTCCTAACAGTGAGGACCAGTTAGAACAGCTTGCCATCAAAAGTTGTGGGTGCTACATTACTGGAGATTTTTAAGAAGAAACTCGACAGTCACTTGTCTGAAATGGTATATGGTCTCCTGCTTGGCTTAAAAGGCCTCCAAGGTCTTTTCCAGTTCTATTCTGATTATTGATTGATTGATTGATTTATCTTAAATTTTCACTCATTACCAAGGCTTATGCTTTGTATATTAGTACCTCTAAAATTAGGCCAAATATATCTGCATCCAGCGCAGGAATGCTATAGAACAAATAATTCACAGCAGGGCTGTTATTGAATTAGGCAGCAAAAGGTTTTAAGTTCACACGCACACCAGCCTCACATCTTCCAAAAATCTTTCCATGGCTGCTATTTTTGCTAGCCATCCCTCTTTTCAGCATCTTCCTACCAACTTGCCTATCCCAATGGCTTCAGCATTTTCCCATATCTGCCACTGATATGCCCAGTGGCCCTCTCCCCAATCTTTCCAGCATCTTCCCACCAGCCTGCTTTCTCATTTTCTATTGTATGCTTTACAGATAGTCCTTCACTTACAATAGTTTGTTTAGTGATCGTTCAGAGTTACAACAGGACTGAAAAAAATGATTTATGACCATTTTTCACACTTACAACCATTGCAGCATCCCCATGGTCACGTGATCAAAATTCAGACACTTGGCAATTGACTCAATGGCGGTTGTAGTGTCCTGGGTCATGTGATCACCTTTTACAACCTAACAAGCAAAGTCAATGGGGAAGCCAGATTCACTTAACAATTGTGTTACTAACTTAACTGCAATAATTTGCTTAACAACTGTGGCAAGAAAGGTCATAAAATGGGGCAAAACTCACTTAACAAATGTCTCATTTAGTGACAGAAATTTGGGGCTCAATTGTGGTCATAAGTCAAGGACTACTTGTAACATTTTAAACCATGTACATTCTAGTCAATTCAGTTCAGTTTGAGAATGAGAACAGATGAGACGTGACTTAAAGGGGAAAAGAGAACCCCTTATCCCAAAAGCCTGGGAAGAGATGCTAATGAGAGATTGACATCGCTCTTCCCTAATACTCTGGCAATGTTATATTTCAAGTGAGAGGAAGAGAGACATAGCCTAACACTTACCCATAACTGTAGGCAGTAGCCCATCCAAGTTCATATGCTTTTCTCATGAGAAAGCCTCCAAAGATTCTGTTGAAAATGTTACGTTCCTATATTCACAAATATTCATAGGACGAATGAATTTTGAGCATTTACACAGAAATTACTAAAGACAGTGGTTATCAGACCATCTACTGTAGTACAGTTACTTCCTAAAATGATAAATAGATTTCTTAATGATTTCATTGGGGTTAGAGTTGGGCAAGAAATAAATTTACCAATTATTTAAATAATTAAAATTTAAGTATCAAAGGAATTTATAAACTTTATAAAACTGCACTTGCCCACAGGATGCAGACAAAGCCCAGGGGAGACTGACAGAATTCCCGTTCTCTATGTGAAAATAGGTTAAGTTTTTTTTTTTAAAGTGACACCTTCCTCCACAGCTATTACAACTAACATATGCACACACACAGAATGCCAAGACACAGTATGAAAAATCCAGACAGTGTACACCTACATACAGCTCTTTGAAATTAAGAGCAATTTGTATTATTAGAATATTCCAATAAAAAATTCAAAGTGCAGAATCATGGACCTTCTGAAAACACAGAACCACAATAACCTAGTCAGTTATAAAACAAGATGAGATAAACAAGGATTTATTCCTTCTATCAACTGAAATGCTACTTTTGTTCTAGAAGAATTACATACCTGTCATTACTCTATGCAGAATGCCAAAATCAGCAGACACAGAGCATATAATAAGAAGCTAGAAGCTATTTAGTCAAATTTCCAGAAAGTTCTGCTAAAACCAATGTAGAAGCATATGAAGTACATAATTATGTTCTGGAAGGGAGAAGAATCACTGATAAGATCCATAGAGCTATCTTTGCATAATTTCCAGTAACTAGTTAATTCAAGTGCCTTTTTTTTTTTTTACCAATAAACAAGTTATTGCTTAAGAATCAGTTTGGTATAGTGGTTAAAACATCCAGTTAAAAACTGGATGACTGTGAAGTCTAGTCCTGTCTTAGGTGTGAAGCCAGCTGGGTGACCTTGGGACAGTCACTCTCAGCCCTGGGAATGGCAAATTACTTCTAAGAAGCCTTGCCAAGAAAACCCGCAGAGTCTTGTCCACACAGTCCACACAGTCACCAGGAATCAACTCTAACTTAAAGGCACACACAGAAAAGCTATTGCTTAACTGTGCTGCTTGCTCCAAATAAGTTGTAGTATACAAGAAGTGATGCATATAATGTATGTCTTTATGTTTATAAAAAGTGCTAATCTACTTTCTTGCAAACTTTTGTTATATTCTAAAACAGAATACCTCAGGGCCATAGATTAATAAAACTACAAACTGGCTTTGTTGCATTTAATTGGAATTAAGGAAAATACGCTTCAAATTTCTACCAGTCAGAGTTACAAGCACAAACTGGCAATACTCACATTATATATTTGATGTTCATTTCTTGAGTAATATAGCTACAAAGTTTCTTTAAATATTAAGGGCAGAGAGAAATTAAATTTCTGAAGATGTTTCATGACTTTATGGTTATGAATATTTTTCAAGAAATCAAATTGCCAAATAGCTATTATAGAAAGTACCATATCATGTACCAATTTGAAGCAACAGTCAAACACAAGGATTAGTCTATATCAAGCTATAGCTCAGTAAATACCTGTGGATGGCAGATCTCCAAACCCTTTAATTTTGTGTCTTCCATCCATACAGAATTGGGTAGCAATACCCGACTACGAAAACTTACTGTCCTAAAAGATGGAGAATACATAAATTTGTCAAGAACACCATTCAATCCCAATATTGTGAATTTCAATCTATCTAAGACTAAATGGATACCACTGCATCCACATGCTGATAATGGGAATAGGACCTTAGGTTTACCCACATATTTTACCTTGTCTTCTCTGATACCTAAGCAAGATGGTCAACAATAAGGATTGATGGCACTGCAGTACAATATCTGGAGACCCCATATTTGATATAGATGTTGGCAAATCCAAGAACATCTTGTTATTCTTTCCCATCACTATGCTATAAACATATTCGGCTTTCAAACTGTCCCTTCTCCAATTCTTCTCTATAACAACCATCTTGTGAAGTAGACTGGATCAAAGTTACATACTGTGCACTTAAAAGGTAAAGGTAAAGGTTCTCCTCGAACATACATGCCAGTCGTTTCCGGCTCTTACAAAGCCAAAGAGCCAACGCTGTCTGACAACATCTCCATGGTCATGTGGCCGGCATGACAAAACACCGAAGGCACATGGAACACTTACCTTCCCACCAAAGTGGTCCTAATTTTTCTACTTGCATTTTTACATGCTTTCGAACTGCTAGGCTCAGTGGCTAAGACACTGAGCTTGTCTATCAGAAAGGTTGGCAGTTCGGCGGTTCGAATCCCTAGCACCACATAACAGTGAGCTCCCATTACTTGTCCCAGCTTCCACCAACTGTGCACTTATAACCAAATAAATTTAACTCTGACTGCCTAATCACATTCTAACAGATAACTGCTGCACCATGCTGTCTGGGAGTCCTCCAAATTGTAATTCTAATATACATGAAATGCATCGAGTTTGGAAAACGTTTATAAAATGTTTATAAATGTTTATAAATGAACTCCCTACCTTGAATCCAGAGTATTCAGGAACATATTGTGGATAATATTTCTTTCATCTGCAGTAGGAGCAACCTTCAATAAAGAAGCCCTACTAGATTCAAGTCGCCTGATCTTGTTCTCTGATTAATGGAATGAAACATGTAAAATGAATGACAATTGGCTTCCAACAGCTTTATTTCATGCCTTTTTCAAAAATGATGAATAATACTTTTCTGAAATCTGTGTGTTTTAGACTGCTGTAGGTATCAAACTATTTTACTCCCAAAGAACCTATGTTTCCCCCAATTATTTAGGAATGGCCACAAAACAAAATTTCTCCATTGCCCCCTTCCCAAAAAACAACCAGGCTAAGAGTGTACTTACTTTCTCCTTCATTGAAGATTTTTTCTTCCTCTGGGGTTTTAACTATTAATGGATTGACAAATGCTGGTCTGAGGATATATTTGAAAAAAATCAAAACAATATGCATTACTGGGGGGAAATGAAATGTTTTGGCTGCAATCGAGCATAGTTAATTTATGCAGAAGTTCATTTGCAGAAATCTGCATGTTTACTTTAGTGTTTTAAAACAACTTTTTTTCTTATTTCAACAACACAAATGATTTAACTTGAAAAGACAATGATCTAAAGAGGACAGCCAATGCAGTCTACTAGGACAATGTAGCATTTCAGATCTGAAGGCAAAGCATGCTTCAGAGCATGCAGGGAAATGAAAACATAACATCTGTCTAGGGTTAAGTATGTCTATGGAGCCTACAATAGCTAAAAAATCCACAATAAGGCCCAGCTGCTATAAGGAATTGTAAATACTGTGGAAGCTACATTCATTACCTGTGCACTCTCCTTTTCCCCTTCAATCTAAAATACTGTACAGCTATATAGTCTGACCTAATTTGGAATTTTGCACCATTCATTTTGTTGCTGCCTTATAGTTTTTGTTGACATTAATATTGATACTCCTGGTTTTTATCTTATATCTAGCTCTGTTCTGCTATTCTACTTTTTTTCTTTTTGAATTGACTTGAATTGAAATATTTTGTTTTATACACTTTAACTGGCCACATGCTACTCAGAGAACTCTAGTTAGGGCAAAATAAACAGTATAAGTAAACAAATAAGTCACCAAAATTAACATAATAGGTTAGCACCCTTAACATATTCTGGAGTCCTTTATAGTCTAGGACTGAAATAAATAAAATAATAAAATAAGCAATGAACTATTTTCAAACACATGTATGTTTAACACCAAAAATACAATCTTACACCTTTAAACATAGTTTTTAGCTACAGATTTAAGCCAATTTCAAAACTAGCAAATTGAATCAATGCCATTATGACTTATTGAATGAAAGGCAAAAATAGGATCTGAGAAGGAGGAAGGGTGACACAGAAATCAGAACTGCACTTTCCAGCTAGCCACAATACGAGTACTCGCTTAAAAACAACATACTTAGCAACTGTTCAAATTACAATGGGGCTAAAAACAAATTATGATCAGTTCTCACAATCACAACAGTTGCAGCATCTCCATGGTCATATGATCACAATTCCAGCTCTTGGCAATAGTTGCATTTACAATTGTTGCAGCATTTCACAGTTAGGTGATCCCCATTTGGAACCTTCCTAGTTGGCTTCCAACAAGCAAGGTCAATGGGGAAGCCAGCAGGAAATTGCAACTCATGGTCACATGGTGTCTTGCTTAGCAACCATTTTAGTTAGCAATAGTGCAATGGGAATCATTAAATGAGGATTACCTGTAATTGGAAAGTTACAGATAAAAATGGAAACATCTATACCTGACTGAACACAGTAGAGAACCTATGATATTGCTGAACTAGAATCCTCTGCTTCCCACTAGTCATGCAACCAGAAGCTGGTGGGGTTTGAAGTTCCACAGTAATTGAAGGTCAACAGGTTCATCACATTTGACCATCATTTGTATTCCTCTCTGATTTTTAAAAATAAACTGCTAGGAACATTACCTTTTATTTTCTGGATCACGGGCCACCATGACAAAAGTTGCATCTAACACAGGGCAATAGATTCCTCCATCAAGTAACTAAAATAAAAGAATATGAGAGATGAAAAAAAAAATGATTAGAATCAGCATCCAGTGATCATTCAATTAAAACTTGATATACTGTTTCAACTCCTTCATGGCAAAGGGGCTTGCATAGCTCAATGAAGCTATGAGCTATGCCGCACAAGGTCACCCAAGACAGACAGGTCATAGTAGAGAGTTCTGACAAAACGTGATCCACTGGAGAAGGAAATAGAAACCCACTCCAGTATATTTGCCATGAAAACCCCATGGACAGTACCAAAAGGCAAAAAGATATGGCGCTGGAAGATGAGCTCCTCAGGTCAGAAGGTGTCCAATATGCTACTGGAGAAGAGCAGAGGGCTAATACTAGTAGCGCCAGAAAGAATGAAACAACTGGGCCAAAGCCGAAAGGACACTCAACTGTGAATGGATCTGGTGGTAAAAGGAAAGTTTGATGCTGCAAAGATCTATATTCCATAGGAACCTGGAATGTAAGATCCATGAATCAAAGAAAGCTGGATGTGCTCAAACGAGATGACAAGACTGAACATTGACATCTTAGGAATCAGTGAACTAAAAAAGGACAGGAATGAATGAATGTAATTCAGATGACCACTAGGTATACTACTGTGGGCAAGAATCCCTCAGAAGAAATGGAGTAGCCTTCACAGTCAATAAAAGAGTAGGAAAAGCAATGCTGGGATACAATCCCTGAAATAACAGAATGATCTCAGTTCGAATCCAAGGCAAACCATTCAACATCACAGTAATCCAAGTCTATGCCCCAACCACTGATGCTGAAGAGGATGAAATTGACTGGTTCTATGAAGCCCTAACAACACCTTCTAGAATTAACACCAAAAAAAATGATGTCTTTATCATCATGGAGGATTGGAATGCCAAAGTAGGAAGCCAAAAGATAACTGGAATAACAGGCAGATTTGGCCTTGATAGTACAAAATGAAACAGGGCACAGGCTGATAGAATTTTGTCAAGAAATACAATGGCCACAGCAAACACTCTTTTCCAACAACCCAAGAGATGACGCTACACATGGACATCACCAGACAGTCAACACAGAAATCAGATTGACTATGTGCTCTGCAGACAAAGATGTAGAAACTCTATACAGTCAGTAAAAACAAGACCAGGAGCTGACTATGGCTCAGATCATGAGCTTCTCTTTGCAAAATTTAGACTTAAATTGAGAAAGTAGGAAAAAGCACTAGGCCACTCAAGTATGAACTAAATCATATCCCTGATGAATATACAATAGAGGTGACAAATAGATTTAAGGAATTAGATCTGATAGACAGAGTGCCTGAAGAACTACAGACAGTGGTTTGCAACATTGTACAAGAAGTAGCAACTAAAACCATCCCACAGAAAAAGAAATGCAAGAAACAAAATGGCTGGTTGAGGAAGCTTTGCAAATAGCTAAGAAAAGAAGGGAAGTGAAAGGGAAGGGAGAAAGAGAAAGATACACCCAATTGAATACAGAATTCCAGAGAATAGCTAGAAAGGATAAGAATGCCTTCTTAAATTAACAGTGCAAAGAAATAGAAGAAAACAATAGAATAGGAAGGACCAGAGATCTCTTCAAGAAAATTGGAGATGTGAAGGGAACATTTCATGGAAAGATGGGCATGATAAAAGACCAAAATGGCAGGGACCTAACAGAGGCAGAAGATATTAAGAAAAGGTTGCAAAATTACACAGAACTATACAAGAATGAGCTTAACATCCCTGATAACCATGATGGGGTGGTCACTGACCTCGAGCCAGTCATCGTAGAATCTGAAGTAAAATGGGCCTTAGAAAATCTGAGCAACAACAAAGCTAGTGGAGGTGACAGTATTCCAGCTGAGCTATTCAAAATCTTAAAAAGAGATGCAGTAAAAGATGCCAGCAAATTTGGAAAACTCAACAGTGGCCACAGGATTGGAAAAGTTTAGTTTACATTCCAATTCCAAAGAAAGGCAATGCCTAAGAATGTTCAAACTACTGCACCATTGCACTCATTTCACATGCCAGCAAAGTTATGCTCAAAATCCTACAAGCTAGGCTCCAGCAGTATGTGGATCTAGAATTACCAGAAGTAGGGCGGGATTTTGAAGGGGCAGAGGAACTAGAGATCAAATTGCCAATATATGCTGGATCATGGAGAAAGCTCGGGAGTTCCAGAAAAATATATACTTCTGCTTCACTGACTATGCTAAAGCCTTTGATTATGTGGATCACAACAAATTGTGGCAAGTTCTTAAAGAGATGGGAGTTAATTGTCTCTTAAGAAACCTATATGCCGGTCAAGAAGCAACAGTGAGAACTGGATTGGTTCAAATTGGGAAAGGAGTTCGGCAAGGCTGTATACTGTTGCCCTGCCTATTTAACTTATATGCAGAGCACGCCATGAGAAAGGCAAAGCTAGAAAGTTGGAATTAAGATTGCCGGGAGAAATATCAACAACCTCAGATATGCGGATGATACCATTCTAATGGCAGAAAGTGAAGAGAAACTAAAGAGCCTCTTGATGCAGGTGAAGGACAGTGCAAAAGTTGGCTTGAAACTCAACATTAAGAAAACTAAGATCATGGCATCCGACCCTCTCAATTCCTGGCAAATAGATGGGGAAGAAATGGAGGTAGCGACAGATTTTATTTTCCTGGGCTCCAAGATCACTGCGGATGGGGACTATAGCCAAGAAATTAAAAGACACTTGCTCCTTGGGAGGAAAGCTATGGCAAGTCTAGACAACATACTAAAAAGCAAAGACATCACCCTGCCAACAAAAGTGCACATAGTCAAGGCTATGGTTTTCCCAGTTGCAATGTATGGCTGTGAACATTGGACCATAAGAGAGGCTGAGCGTCAAAGAATTGAGGCCTTTGAACTATGGTGCTGTAGAAGACTCCTGTGAGTCCCTTGGACTGCAAGGTGATCAAACCAGTCAGACCTAGGGGAAATCAACCCTGACTGCTCTTTAGAAGGCCTGTACTGAAGATGAAACTCAGATACTTTGGGCACCTAATGAGAAGGAAGGACTCACTGGAGAAGAACCTAATGCTGGGAAAGACTGAGGGCAAAAGAAGGGGACCACAGAAAATGAGGTGGCTGGATGGAGTCACTGAAGCAGTAGGCGTGAGCTTAAATGGACTCTGGGGGATGGTAAAGGACAGGAAGGCCTGGAGGAATGTTGTCCATGGGGTCGCGATGGGTTGGACATGACTTTGCAACTAACAACAACACTTTCAGAACTGAACTAATTTTTTCTGTGGATACCAAAAAGAAAAAAGGCAAGGAAATTTAAGTAGAATACATATTGCAATATTTATTAAAAAGGGTTTATAAGTAAGATTCTCCTTGTCAATTTAATTGTGCCAGTCAAAAATTACATTCTCTTCAAACAGATCACAATACACTTTAATAAACAAGGATATTACATTCCAGTTTGTACTTATTCCTTTTGAATACTGTTTTACTATTTGGCTAACCTGCCACAGGATTTTATTAAAGGATGCAGAATAGCTTGCCAAATGTAAGAATCTAAATTCAGACTCTTAGAGCAAATGAAGCTCACTATCATTAACCTGAAGCATGTGTATCTTCACTTCCATTGAAGTTTTTCCAACCCAGGAAACATTCCCGGTGAACTTGATATCACAATCCGGATGAATATGCTGCTTCCATAAACCTAAAAGGATAGAAGGGGGTCAGAGCACAGATTCTAAGGACTGATAATCAATATTTATCTAAGGGAGGACAGTACTAATTTAAGAGATCAATTTCGGGTCAGCAACTTTTTCAAGCAGCAGGCAGCTTCATGCAACGTTGTAGTATCAATTATTTTCCACTGCACTCCTGCAACTCAAGCAAGAACATTGACCCTCTTGGTAATCTTGCAAGAATTTGGCCTTTTTAAAATGTTAAACACCATTATTTAATTTTCCAGAAAAAAGTAACATATCTTTTCTGTTTGTATAATACAATATCTAGCATATGTGATATAATGTCTAGCCGACGGAGTGATATATTTATTCAGTTGGACGTTTGAGTAAAATGGATGGGATACATTCAAAAATGACATGTTGGCAACAAATATATATTCATCAGAACATGAAATCATTCCTGACTTCCGGTGGCATACTTATTGACAACAGACCAGAGACCACGACTGTGCACGGCTTTGATCCGTGCTTGCCTGTTGGATAGGTCCTTAAAGGACCGGATTCATCACACCCACCTCGTAGGGATGGGGGACGAGGGGGAAACCACCAGTTGGGTCGAGGGGAGACGCATCTCCCCTCCCTGGCTTGGTAAACTCCCCTAGAAGACAGGGAGAAGCGGCAGTCTTTAATGGCTTCCCTGAAGACGAGAAGCTTCCAGGACACAAGTTTGTGCTGGAGAGTGAAAGTGGTGAGCGGCGTGTAACTGGATAAAAGACTTTGAACATTCTTTTTGATAACCCCGAAAAGCGGAAAGAAAGAGCCCTCGTTTGGAAGAGAGGTAGTGGCAAACGAGAAATAAGAGGAAAATATAAGGTAAAGAAAAAACTGGAAATAAAAGAATTGTATGTAATTAGAGACTAAATTTGGAATAACATACAGAATTGGACATTAATCAGGCATTAGATAAAATGCTGGACTTATTTGGAATTGATAAAATTTAATATTAATACTATGGAAGAGTGAATTAAAAATAAAAGAATACTAAGAAAAAAGTGATATAGAGCACCACCTAAGGGTTAAAGATTTTCCTCTCTTATGTTTTTATGGAAAATTACTGGTCGTATAAATATTTTGAAAGAGAGAAGAAATGGAATAAAAGATTATTAATATAACAAGATCCCCGGAAGCTTTATAAAAAAAGAGGAGGATTACAGTAAAATATAAAAGAATGCAATACTTTGGGACTATTGGAGGTTCACTGTGACAAGAAAACAGAAGAAAGGGAAAGTGAGATAAACGGAGACATTTGACAAGGACTATAATAGAAAAACTTAACCTTTAATAAAATAATTAACTTAATAATTATAATTATAATATAATATAATAGATAATTATAAATAATTAACTTAATAGACCAAAGAAATGGAAGAAATAAGCAAAGAATTTAAGTCAGAGCTCCAAACTGTGAGAAAGATGTTTAAAGAAAGAATGAGCTGGTGGAGATAATGCTGAGTAAAGTAATGGCATCACAGCTCGCAGAAGAACAAAGGACGCTCAGAGAAGATGAATTAAAAGACGAAAATAACAGCCTTGATGAGTATGAAGAACAAGGACCATTGTCAAAGGACAAAAAGGACTTAAAACAGAGATATCAACAACAGAGACAACAAATAAAAGATAAGACACCCAAAACTAAGAAGAAGAAGGGAATATGTAAGAAGAAACCCCCCCAAAAGAGAACTGAAAAGTGGGGGGGGGGGGACATGGCTGACAGGCAGAGGGAAATAAAAATAAAACTAGAAGGAAAAACAAAGAAAGACTGGAGAAATTTAGAAAAGGGAAACCTAGCCAAAATTAAAAGGAATGATAAAGTTACGAGATTTAGAGATAAGGGTTAGGGATTGTATAAGGGGGATACCACATGGGAATGTATATTGGTATCTAGTTTAAAACTTGTTGGAAATTATTCTAGGATTATATAACTATATATATGTAACTGTATATGAATTATACTGTTACGAACCCTTACATTGGAGGATTAAAACAGGGGAATGGAAATGTATTAAAATATATAGATAAATTTTGGATAAGTGTTAAGGAAGAAAAAATACCATTATTAATGATTGTAAGAAAAGTGAAAGGTATTAAAACATAAATTTTGGCCAAGTAGAAAGTTGGAAAATGTTATTATTAATGATTAAAATAAAAGTGAAGATGAAATGAGATATATTAAGAAATCATTTTAGCGATTTCAGGGGGGGATACCTTAAAATATATGTTTTAAAATATACAGTTGATTATTTAATGTTAATATGTTTAAAGTGGGGGAATGAATTATTAAATTAGATAGACTGACGGAATATATCATGTGGATCTTAAATATATTGGTTTTGTCTTATTTTTATTCTTTTTAGGTTTATATTGGCCTAGGAAAAATTAAGGATAATAATGATGTGTAATGTTAAATAAAATAGGCGCTAAGTTGAAAACAAAAATAATAGGGGATAAAGAACTGGGAATCTATATGTGGATGAAATGATATTGAATTAATGAATTGAAACTTATTTAAAGATGAGTGAAATGGATAATGATATGAGATGATATTATATAAGATCGGTGGAAATGAAAGTATGATTATGTACAAGTGTTATAATCTGGAACCACATTGCCCATGTAAAAAGATGTGTAAAAATTAAAAAAGTAAAAACTTTTTTGGGGAAAAAAAAAGAACATGAAATCATTCCTTAAAAATGTCATCTAAAAGTGTCAGGATAGCTTTGTTTTCTCTTTTGCAACATTAGAGTTTAAATCTCAGCTGTTTTTCACTGAATAACAGTGTGAACTTCCCAGACAGATATAAATCCATTAATAATTAAACACCTACCAATTTTATCCACAAGTGCTGTAACAATTGATAAAGGAGATCTTGGAGTAGCTTCATTTTTTGTGTGAGTATAACAAATAAGAACTGTAAACAAATAAACAGAAATGGTCTATTAATTCTGCTTAGAACTTATATATTTCTCCTAAGGATTGTTGGAAAGTTTTCAGTATGATCTTTGTATCATCCAAAGACATTTTTAAATGTACTAAGTTTATAGAATACCTGCCTTATAATATGATTAAACAGAGCTCAGTCTGAAAAATTAAGACTAGTAAGGATAATTTATTTTATTTATTACAGTATGTAATATTGTGCAGTGGCTTGCCCTGTCAGTGTTGTTGGGGCTGTTGTTTTCTCCTTTGTACTTCCTTGGTTAGGCTGTTCTTTACTTCTTCCTTGTCTGAAATGGTAGTTTCTCAATTAGGGTATTAGGGTACACTAGGTCAAGCTACTATATACAAACAAGGACCAAACCCCACTCCATTCTAGCATTGAAGATGTTACCTAGTTGGGTAATGAAACTTCTACAAATGAACAATCAAGTTCAGAAAGTACCAAGGTCTTGACATATTCTCTAATATATTCTCTTCTATTAGTAAACAACTACTTAGAAATAACTACTTATAAAATAACATAGCAGGAAAATAACAAAAACTGCCGCCAAACTTTTAACGGATAATTGATTACACTGTTTTTTAATTTGGATTACACAGAACTTAATATTCTGTTTTCAGTTTATATGTTTTTATAGAGTTTATACAAATAAAAAAGTGGTATATAAGTAATGAATTAATAAAGCAAAAAATTACATGCTCACTTATTCACTTATGAAGCATTTTTCACTGCTACAAAAAAATACATTAAGCAGGAAGTCACAATAATATTATCTGCACTTTTAAAGTTCTAAATAATTAACTCAATGTAATTCATTAAGCATAACTGCTTTCAGAATAGATGGGGAGAAAAAAATTTAAAGGTTCAACCAATTTTTCGACCTTCCTTCGCTGATCCCACTGAGACACTTCATTACCAATTTTCATCTTACCCAAGGAACCACAGTCATTAAGAACAATGCTAACTGTAATATCAGTTCAAGTGGTTCCAAAAGAGAACAGCCAGTTTCAAAGATATTCCTCTGCAGTATATTTAATTAACAATGACATAGATATTATATTAATCCAAATGTGTTCAAATTTTTCCAACCTATCAGATCACTAGAAAGAAATGAAATGATGTAAGCACCACATACCTCCTAAGCTGTCAAGGTCTTCAAGTAGACGACCAAATCTAAAATATTACACAGTAATTAATCTGTATGCATTTTAGAGCACCAACAACCAAATGTTTTATTTTATTGAAAAATGAAAGTAGTCTATTTTTACCTGACAGTGTTTTGCATATTGAGATATTTTTCCCTTATTTCGGGCTCACTTCCTAAAGGCAAGATAACTTCTATATAGCTGTCTTTCATTTTCCTAGGAGGAAGGTCACCCTGGGTTTTAGCAAGAAGTGTATGTAAGGCTTTTCTTTCATTCATTGCTTGCACATGGTCTCTGGAGGAAGGGTAAAACAAAATCAGATTATGCCATGTGGGTAAAAACAATCAAACTTCAGTTTATCAGATTTCAGATACAATGGACAAAATCCGTTTGTTGGTTTAGGCATGTATAAAATCTCATTTGCACTTAATCGGCATTTGAGTCTTACACACTCTTTCCCCCATTAGTCAGTTAAATCATAGGTTTACTCTATTAAGCAGCTACAGGATATTATTAATCTGCAATAATATATTGTAATACATTCTTTCACCTCTAAAAAATGCAATTATACCATGAGATAGATAGATAGATAGATAGATAGATAGATAGATAGATAGATAGA